AAGCATGGACCAACCAAAATGAAATAATCATGCTCTCCAGTAAACGTGGTGAGCTTGGTTGGGGAAGGACATTTTTACAGAGTGCAAGAGAAAGTTTATGTTGGCAAAATCCCTACGTTGTTGTGTAAGTTGCATCAAAATGTATTCAGGTCCTTAATAATTTTTCTCACTGACAATCTGGTCTCAAGCTTTGTATCCCTTCAGTTTTAAGACTAAAACTCAATTGTAAGGATGAAGTAATAACGTACTTTGACTACACGACGCTAGAAAATTAATAACTAACTAACTAAAGGGCTGGGCTCACTTTCCTTTCCCTTACTTAAATTTTACTTAACTCATGATATAAAGTCATTATCAGTTTATTATAAATTGTGTTGCAATTTCAGCCACGTCCCTACTTAAGATCCTAAAGTAACTCGCTGTCTGAACGTCAACAGTATCGAACTGACACATTGAATAGTTGATTGGTTGTTAGTTGTGGAGTTATTTTGTAAGAATATCTTCACCTCAGTCTCATTGCTTCGTCCAGTTGAAATTGACGTATTTTAAAACACAGCGCTGTGCTTCCAAACACACTTTTTAAAAAAGATAAACTGAAGCGTTCTTAACTTACTGGGATGAATGCTATTTCACATTTATAAAGTCCATGTTTCAACTTGTGAAATAATGACTCTAACCAAAAAATGTTTCTGTCCTACCAATGTCACTTGTTAAAAACATGCACTAGTCGTTACTCTAGTGGATCCTATCCCATAATGGTCCTAATGAATCCGGCGCAATGTCACAGAACTAAAGCGTTTCTCAATTTATACCGTCAGACCGGTTCAGTATTCCAACATTTTCTGTTTTTGTTTTGATTTGTGGAATCAGGTGTGCAAAACAGGTCGATACCTGGCTCAGAGTTTGAAAAACAGCATCTCACCATAAGATATAATTAGATATACTTCAAGCCAAAGACAGCCGACCGGCCAGACAATAATCCGGGATGCACACAGCCACTTGTTCATGACGGACTCTCGGCAACTGATGTCATCCCTTTGTGCTGCAATGAGGACATGGTCCTGAACATTCAAGGCCAATGCTTCACTGTATCCCACAGTACTAAGAAAAAAGACCACCACAGAGACCACCAGTCAAAAGGCCTATTTTAATTATAACGGCATAACATAGAAGCGTCCCTCACAAATCAATTGGAAGGCTTTTGTGATTGATAGAAGAGGAACATTAGATAGGACTCGCTAATACGGCGTCCTAATTTCAAAGAACTGACGTTGGATCCCAAAAGTTAACTCAGTTTCTGTCTTCACAAATGCTACCGGATCTACTGAGTTTCCCCAGTACTTTCTTTCTTGTTATTGCGGGGTCTTCTGAAGGAAACTCGAGGAACTATCACCTCTGCCCATTGCCAGTCATGCACCACAGTCATGCACCATATACAGCTGTGGAGTGGTTGTTTATCAGTTTTCATATGCAACGTCCTCAATGTAACTGTTGTCTGTCAACTCACTACGTTTTCAGTCACGAATAGCTGAAATGTGTAGCTATGCGCCCAAATGGAAACTAAAACATTGTAGAATAGCAGCTTTCAGTTGGAATATTTGAATTCAATTAAGGTCCTCAAAACAGCACTGGGGCGAACCCAATCTCATACATTCCAATGCAAGATATGTTCTTCTGGAAAGCCGTTTGATTGCATGACCCTCGCCTAGATTTGCTGTTCGTGTATCGTTTAGGTATTGCACCCAATATGCATAAAAATGAAAAGAAACTGTTTATGCTGAAAATCTGAAATACAACATCTAATCCGGTAGATATAGCACAATGTGAAAAGATAGGTTAGTGATTTTACGTGTATTAATCTACATTTTCTCGGTGTCTCTAACATTTTCTATTCGCACTATTTTATATAGAAAAGATTACCATAAATAATTCACAACATGTATAAGGAATTGCAGGGAACAGTTCGTAATGACGTGTTTACGTCCCAAAATCATACATAAATGCTCGCAGAATCAGTTGGACTTTTTCTGAATTATGTCCAACGTGCGGTGTATTTCCACGTTTTAGCTGCCGTAGGACATCGCTTTGTGTCATTTATCCCATTTCATGTGGGATAAATAGCTTTAAATCACAGCAGCCGTTTGAAAACACGTTTATTGGAATTTACCAGATTAACTCATCTCTCCGATTCAAATTTCAAGTCTGAATTCCTTAAGCAATAAAGCATTATAAAGTTGCGGGAGGCTGTTTTCAAACCTGGTTGAATACCAGTGGTTTTGCATTAATTTACTACTAAGCTAATAAGTAGGTTTCGTTTTGTTATGCTAAGCTTTATTGCTTTCTTTTATCGGAATAGTGTTTTCACCAAAGCGCAGACAAGGCATTCTTTGATGAGGGAATTAGTGCTCTATTATTCCCCTATTATTCATTGCACACTAGAATATGTAAGTACCTGAGGGTGTAAAAGGAGAACAGAGTCTATTGCAAAGTGTTCGGCTTGTTTCTTTGTACAGCTGAGTATGAGATGATAAACCGCTTAATACACCGCACTAATTGGATGAGAGCAAAGAGATGGGAATTAGTGGATCCAAAGGAGATCGTGCTACCAGTTTCCAATGCCGCTTTCTTCCGTCTTTCTTTCACAACTTCAACAGCTCCAAAGGCGGCAGAACCTCCCCACCCCCACCCTCCCCTCGAAAAGACTGTGTGTTTTGTATAGAATTATGCGCGTCCGAACAGCCCTGGGTTAAATGGAACACGCATAGCAAAGATTTGGCATTTTGATAGACTATACTACAAAACGAACCTGAGGTTTAAAATATACTTTATTGTGTTTCATCTAATGGTTAAGATAAAAAGATGAAAAACAAGACAACACTTAATTGCGTTTTCACTAAGTGTGCATTATTCATACATGATTTCATTAATGCGTACAATATATTATGCCTCCCATACGTTAAATTTCAATATTAAGTGATCTGCGCATAAAAAATTAACCTGTATCCGAATCATATATTCCTTTCCACGTTAACCAATACAATTTGTACATGTATACATATATACAAGTCTTTCTACCTATACACATGCATGCAAATGTACACATGTTTATATAGACGACTTGTCACTCTACTTGAAATCTCTCCAAATCTGGAAGCTGGTTTTGGGAACAGATGGTGGGGAGCTTGGCAGTGAATGGAGGGAGAGTTGAATTTGTGTGAGCGTGCTGAAACCTGGCTCCCGTGCAATGTCGCGTTAGAGTTGCTTGAGTCTGAAGGCAGCACAAAAACACCAGGGAGGTTTGCTTAAGGTTGGGGGTCACAGTCGTCGTGTTTTGTAGCAAGAATTCCCAGATATTAGAGCCAAATTGGGTTGCTATTCATTAATAATGTTCACAATAAGATTAAATCATTCTGGAAAATCTCATAAAACCCTGTAAATACGCTTCACTGGCTCTTTCAAACGAAATCATTCAACACTTGGGGAGGTTTGGATGACGAGAAATTGGTTTCTTTGCTAATGCCTTTTTTTCAAAGACACTCAGAGTTTATCATGCGTGACATGTCAAATGTTTAATATAGACTTGATGGGAGTCATCGGCCGTTAACATGCGATATTTATAGTGAATATTTAGCAAAGAATAGCTGCTTTACCAGCTGCGAAGCATGAAAGAACAGTCTGAGATCTACATGTTTGCACCATCACTGAGGTGGGATTAGTTGTAAAGCAAGGCGAGTAAGAGGGAGATGCTTTCATTCGTCCATAAGAACTTTAATCCACCACGTAATTTTACGCAATTTGATTTAGTACTATAGCGTGGAGGTCAGATGTGGGGGGAGGGTGAATGACTTTAAAAAACGTTCATTAGCTGAGATAATGGGATGGGTTCTGGTCTGATATCAACCTAAAGATATGTCGCCCACAGTCGACGTTAATTGGCTACCTAGTCCAAAACGGTTAATGACGTGAGTACATCAAAGTCTAGAGTGGGGTTGTTGGGCCACGCCAGGCAACGTTTAACGCAAGAGTTGGTCATCACGGCGCAAACACTTCATCTTACGTGACGGAAGGCTGCCACCATGATATAGCAGAGGTGAGGTCAGTTCAGAAATCAAAACTGCGGTGGCTGCGATACTTGGGATCGGAAACAGTAAAGAATCTACAAGTTCCCACGCCCACCTCCATCACACAAACTATAAATCTTTTGCTCTCCCTGAAAACTTGATTTTATTTTCATCAAGTTGAATTTTTTTCTGCCAAGCTAAAGGTCTGTTCAACACACTGCTTATCTCCAAAAGAGACCAATAAAAAAGATGATTTATACCCCCGCCCCGTATTGAAACAGAAGGGAAGTTAATTTATCAATGCCAACAGTTGCGCTTTGTTTGAAAAAGGACTATTAAAAGCTAAACTGGTAGGAATTGATAAAATTGCCAGGTTAGTACAGAAATCAAAGACTGGATGTTGCCAGATTAACGCCACAATCAAGTCGTTCGATCTGTTTTTTTTTCGAAAGGTGTCATCTAATTTGATTAATAGTGTCAACATCAGGAATTAGTGTCCCCACATTCACCGTAGCTTTGGTGAATTCAATAGGAAAATCCATTGGTTGTGTTACTTTGAAACTGTATATTCTTATATTTCAGCCTCACATAATTGAAGCTGAAGCTTTCTCAGTGGATCCATACTGGCATTAACTTGAACAAGATCGTATTATGATATCGAGAATATGAAATAAGCATCTTCTAAATACGTATACCCTCTGCACTTGCCATATACTATTTATAAGATATTTGAGTTCGCGTGGCAACCTTCTGTAACACCTCTACTCCAAGGAGCAGATTATCGTGCAAACCTAACCCATCCAATCACCTATTTGGAGTGACTCTGGGCCAGGTAACCTCTCCGCGAGTCTCGCGCTCAGCTGCTTGGCCATCAATTGGGTAAGTCAGCGCTGAGGCTCACTAACGCGGAAGGCGGTCACCGAAGCACGTCATGGCGAATATTCGTTAAACACTAACGTTTAGTAACCTGGGTGGCTCATTAGCAGAGATACAGCAAGACATCCAAGCAAATATTTGTTGGCAGCATTTTATAGCGGCGGTGGTGGTGGGGCTGAGGGGTCAATGTTATAATTTCCAAGGATGTATCCAGAAATTGAAAGTGAAACACAAATAAAACACCTTCTTTTCATTTACACCACCTCCGCTGAGCAAAGTTCATAAAACCATTTTTGTTGGTCGTGTCAGCGATGTAAGACAATGAATACTACTAGCAACTTCTGCCAATGTTCATTAAAACAACAGTGCTGGAAGAATGCGCTAAATGCTTGAAATAATCTTAACCCAGTGTAGGGATTACTTGTGGCAGTGCAGAAAATGCCAGTATTCATTCTTTCATTGACAAATTGGATCCTGGGTCCAAAGAACATTGTGGTCCACCTGAATGTTATGTTGTATTATTAAAGCTTTTTCTCCCTCTCGAAATTAACGAGATGGATGTTTTAATTGCTTTGCAATGTTGTGCTTATTAACTATCACACTTAGAAATTAGCCAGCACATACGCATAGGCAAGCGTGATTTGTGAATGAATGGAACTTTCCTGAAACGGAATGGCTGGCTGGAAAACACCTTCCTGTTGTGCAGCCTGAATGTCACCATACAGTCAGACAGAAAGCTGCCAGGGTTCGAGCCTATAAAATACATCAAGCTGCTTTAAGGAAACTATCTATCAGCTGACTGCACCTATTTTGGGCAGAACACAACTGGCACTTTTAGTTATTTTTAATTATGAATTTGAGTCGATTGTTCTGTACTGGTAGTGAGTTTGTCCGCAGTGGATAAATGCTCAGTTGTATAAATACTCGGGTTTTAGAATAAGCGCTTTCTCCAATTAGCTTGTTAAGCGTAACATTTTATTTTCGAGTGTCGCCACTCTTCTAGCCCATATCAAGAAGTTACAACAGTACACGTAATATACCAAGTTGCTTTTTATAAGGTTTTCGAAACCTCTATGGTTAATAAGTTAAATAAAATGTTTGTCCATAAATAATTATTCTACGAACCTAATACATCCACATCACTGTATAAGAACTGTCTGGTAATTCTAGAGAATAAACTTTCACAACACGCTGAGTGCAAATTTTCATTTTTTTTTTAAAAATGTACAATTATTTTCCTTGGAAATTCTGAAGAACGACCATCATGTACAGAAATCAATCACAGTTTAGTGAAATAAGCAGTCCACTCGGATTGGCAGTATTTTTGTCCCTTTGGTTTAGTAGCGAACCGCTGGTTGGCTACACTGATGTATATACATATATAGATATAAAATTCCAGACGTAACCAATGCATGTATGCCCGTGTATGCCAAACAACTCGTCCATCGCAGAAAGTCAACCTCAATTCATTCAGAAACAGTATCCCTTAAACCTGGCCACCAGGAATTGGGAAACTACCCGTGAGTTTTGAATACACTTCATCGCTCTTTTAATTTCAAAACTGCCCTGATTAGATCAAACACCAGTATATTAAAGAAAGTTTCTCTCAAGTATATTCTTAATCACGCGCTCCTATTACTATCTTCCCCTTTCAGGGAAATAAGAATGGTAGGAACATCGCAAATCTTGTATGTAAACAATGTAATTGATTTTCTCTTTCTGTCTCTGTCTTGGCTGTTTTTGATATTAAGTGTGGCTTGTTGGTGTGATGAAAGGGATACTGACTCTAATGGGGCATGCACAGTCTGAGAACCCAATCCACGCGGTGTAACTGGTCCTCTTTCTGAATTTGGTCTTGATCAGCAGCGTGTGTGAAGCCCCTTGCTGTGTACTCAGCACACTTCCTTGCCAGTGGAGGGTGCGGGAAGGATGTTGAGTTGTGTGAGTTGGGCGGCATGTTCCTTGGCTTTGAGTCTCAGTGCTGCGATACTGGACGCTCGTCTGTCTGCTGCTGCTACCGCGGGGTCTGCGAGGGCGCCGGTCTGCACTCCCCCTTCTACCCCCGGGGCCGACTGTCTCAGCAGGGCAGGCCCAGAGGCGCCTGTCAGCGGAGCTACTGTCGAGAAGAGCCTGAAACAGACAAGGATTTTCGAGATTATGATACGTGAAAGATTTTTGAGTCAAACACGATCAGCTGATTTGGTGACGGGTGGGGTACGAATGAATATAAAGGCTTTATTGATCGTGGGTGTGTGTGTGTGTGTGTGTGTGGGGGGGGGGGGGGATGCTAGTCTACACAACGTGCGAAGTAACACCGGACTCACATTATATCAGACTTGCACATCACACGTCGGACTATTTAATTAATTTTGATGTAAGAGGAAGCCTACCACTGTAAGAACGCGCCTTAAAATAACCAGTTTATTGCTAGAAGTTGCCTGTTTTATCAATTTGTAAGCTTGACATGAAATGAAGTTGGACCATTACTAGCAGGGACATGAATGGATCACAACTGCACGGTGAAACCACTTGGACAACTACGGTTTAGTGTAATCTGATCTCCGGAAGCAGTGATAATCCGTCATAGTCTCAGCTAGCATGATCAAAGTAAAACAAAATCAACTAGAATGTCGTTATTAGGGGTCTGGGATCTTTGTTAGAATTATTCAAATTCTCTTGCTGCTGCAAAGACAATATTCAGGCTAGAGTCAGGAGCTAATGTTTTTTAGGCAAGGTCGAACCTGAAACGTCAACACTTCTTCATTCTACAGCTGCGCCCCGACCTGATGGGGATATCCAGCACTCTCTCCCCCTCTCTCTCTCATTTTATTTCAGATTTCCATCTTCCGCAATATTTTGCTTTCGTATTAGCATTTAATTCATTGCGACTTCACAAAGTGCCCGTCTTCTATGATACGTATTCGGATCTGTGTATTTGACCCCCCTGTGTGCTAGCACAGGACCCATTTACTGAAGCCATCTTTCAGCGAGGGGTTTGGAAATGCTCTATGTGTTCATATTACTGAGCTGACTGATGTATCACAACTTTAGATCACAACGCTATCGCTTCTTAACTGATCATAAATTGTTGTTAGGTCACCTTACAGATCAGGTAACTGCAACCATGACCTCACACAGAAATATTACAAGGGAAGTAAGACACAGTGAGATCAGGGCATTTTTTGCCTGCGTAACCATACTGACATTGCGAGTGGTAATAACATCTTTCATATTCGTTCCGCTTGAAAGGGCATCTTTCAGTTTGCCTTCTCGGGTGATGGATGTTACAAAACAAGGGACAACTTTCGACTCTCACAGCCAAAACTTTTGCACCTTGACTGAAATAATTAATACTTTATATCTCCCTATCGAGATGTTTTATGAAAACCAGATACATTACTTTAAGAATGAATAACATGACAGGGCGTATTAATAAAACTAAGAATGACATCGAAAATTTAAGTTACTTTGGTGATTAAGCACGGTAGATTAGCCGCCACCTTCGCCTCCCCTAGAACTTGGTGATCATTTTAATTTCCCTCAATTAGTGTACGTCCTGGACTTGAATGGTTAAATTAGCGAAAGATTGGGCACATCACAGGCTCCCCTGCCATGGTACTCCTGCCTGGAAAGGGTGATGGAAAACCGTGAGGTTATCCGGCAGATATATTAGCACACATATGTGTCCGTGTTTTGATGTCCACTTTGTTAGTGCTGCAGCTCCGTGACTCTCAAATGGAAGAGCCAGTGGTGTCTGTCTGCATGGTATAGTCAGTAAAAATGATACGGTACAACTCACCTACTTTCTGATGAGTTGTGTTGCTCACCATACAGTTGCTGCTGCTCAGCTAATAGAAGTTTAAACCAACTGTTTAGTCAACCCTCTGAACAGGGGATGGAGAAGAATTGACAGAAGCCCATTGAAGTTGTATTGGCACTAAGACCGCACGTCTGGGGAGGGGTAACTGGAATCCAGTCATTCCCCTGTGCTAGATATGGTAATCTAATACTCAAGCCAATGGGGTCCGCTGTTGTCTATTATTAATGTCAACTTATAATGATCGAAAAGACCAGTCTCTTATTAATGTCAGCTTGTTTTGGATTACTTCCCCTGGAATACCCTGGAATCGATTCCCCTGAAATCGTATAGATTTGTGTCTATGCACGTTGGGGCTACTGAAACTATCTGTCATAAAGTCCAAAGATGTGCAGGTTATGTGGATTGGCCATGCTAAATTGCGCATAGTGTCCAGGGATGTGAAGGTTGGATGGATTAGTCATGGGAAATGCAGGGTTACAAACGATAGGGTAGGGGTTTGAGTTTGGGTGGGATGCTATTGAGTGTTGGTGTGGACTCGATGGGCCGAATGGCCTGCTTCCACACTGTAGAGATTCTATGATTTTCTGAAAGTATTTGTACTTCGGTGGGTTCCGAATGAGAAGAATGTCCACTCCGCATTAGACAAATGCCTCTTTGGCTTGAATGCTCCTAACCATAGCGACTGGTTTCTGTCCATGTCAGGCTCCTGACTGATCAGAAAGGCGACATTTGTAATTTCCCAGTGATGCGGAACAGTGCAAGGGAGTAAGGTGCAGGATAGATTATACACTATCAAACTTTAGTAAGAATAAACGGTTCAACCACGTTGTAAAACGGTTGTGGGACAGTTTGAATCTCGGATCGGGGTGTATTTCTTATGGATTCGCTTTATCTCCGTGCTCTGCGTGGCCTGTGTCTGGATTGTATGAGTTTCTGAATGCTGCAGTCGACTCGAGATCATACCGCACTGAATAACTTCTCAAGTACATAGCATGCAGATTTCAGATGGCTTTGTCAAATCATTTTCATGACGGTGTAAGCGACCAAATTATAAACCTTGAAAGGTAAAAGATACAGAGTTGGAGTGATCGAGTTGCTGTGTTCACCTTCCTTCTGAAATGCCCGGTATCATCCTTTTTTTTCTTTTAGCCCTCGTCAGTTCATCATTACCCTATTGCTACTTTCAGTTTCATTTTCTGGAAATAAATAAGGAATAAATATTCCAGATTTATTACTTTTTGCTAAATCTGATACAGCTCACTCAAAATCAAAACACAAGGTAGGTGGCCAACCCAAGAAATCAACACTGCCATGCATTGGCAGTTTGTGAAGAAACTAACTACATTAGAATAGTTTACAGCTAATCTGCGAGAAATGAAATATTGCTGGAAAGGATAGAATGTATAAACGTAGGGATGCCGAATGTTTTATTCAAACTTTGTCGCTATCTTAAGCAACGCATAATATGCACAGTAAGCAGTTTCGAGTTACAACATTGTCTCGACCGGTCTATTCGTAAGATTTTCTTTCATTTAGAGAAATCCCTCGAGAAATACTGGGCCATGAGCTAAACCGTACTGATGGTACAAGGGCCCCCGTCTGGATCTCGCAGTTGTGGAGAGCTCTTCCCTCGCCGTTTAGGTAAATCTGGAGCTTGCATTAACTGCTGCGGCTTTTCGCCGGAGCACTTGTCCTTTAGTTCATCAGGAAGCATTGAAAAGGCTTCATTGTTGTATCACGAATATTTGAAAATGAGCTTGATTTCTCCCCTTCACACGCACGCGCGCGCACACACACGCAGAGCTAGCAGCGGCTTGAATATATTTGCAAATTGTTCTGAAATATTCCTACTCTTGTTAACTATAATGTTACGAAGAGATTGTTCACTGTGTCGTTAGGGTAACTGAACATGATGCTGTTATATATGATTACGTGCAATGGCTTTTGAAGATCAGTTCATTCGTCTATCGCTGGATTTGTTACATTTCATGTGAGATTAATCATGACGCTGAATGATAATGTTTACTTTCACTCCATTATCTTGCTGACTTTTCACGTTAGCCATACTGCTGCTGTTATTCTAAAAGTAAAGTTTACTACCAACTTATTTTGTGATTAGCTGTTAGCCTTGTTCTTTTACAAAATGGGGTTTGGCCGCTGGTTCTGAACGAATTGCTCTAATTCCCCCTTGTTCGTTGTGCCTGCTGACTGATTGATTCTGATTCTCTCGTGCTTCTTGACCTGTTGGTGATGTTGCTGCTCTTGGAGGCGGGAGAGGCTCTGCCTGATGTTCTTACCTGCCGAAGTGCGGAGTGATGAAAGGATGTCTGAACATGGCCGCTCCCAGAAAGGTGCCGAGGCCTAACGGGGCCCCGCTGGGGGGTAAAGCGGCGGTCCCTGGTGGAGGTGGAAGCCCGGGGAAAGCTGCGGCTGCGGCTGCGGCGGCGGCTGCGGCGGCTGACCAGGCTGATTCCAGGCTCGGGTGGTGTCCGAAGGGACTACTGTCCAGGTAAGGTCCCAGCGGGTGTCCCGCTCCCAACGGGCTGGCGAAGGACAAACCGCCTGGATGGCTCTGAGCTCCGGCTTTCTCTCGCTTTCGCCACTTAGCTCTGCGGTTCTGAAACCAAACCTGCAAAAAAAAAGTTCAACTTCTTTAACAAAAACCTTTTCAAAATCTGTGGAAATGAAGTACGGGGTGCGGGGCGGAGGGGGTTGGGGAGAAGTGTCCTGTAAATAAATTCACTTTCGGATTGCAACCAGCAATACAAATGACATTGAATGGTTAACGAGCGCAAAATAATTGCTGGATTTCAATTCTACAATTATTATAAAGAAATGATGCACTTTAAAAATATTATCATTTACTACCAACGATTTAAATTTCACATTAGTTCCACAGAGCAATGTAAAACAGATGTATCTTGACACCAGTTATCAACGCTCAGAAATTGATAGAATTGTATAGTAATTGCCCAAATCGGATGGCGTGAGGCACAAACTCTATCGCACAATTTCATATTACAGATACATAATACCCTCTTTGGATTCAGGCTTCAAACCACATCAACTATACACAGATTCCTGCCTTTACCGGAGAAATATCAAATACATAATGAATTAAAATAATGAAGCGATCTAAAATCGGATTGGGAAACTTTATAAATATGCCCTCGCAAATTTGGAGATAATGTACAACACTGAGATTGCGATTATAATTATAATCGAGTTGATGAACTAAAAAGGTATCAGATAGTGTCTTCGTGATTTATGTCATCGCTTTCAAATTGACCTTAATTAATTGACATCAGTTAATAGATTTTTTAAAAAGGAGGAATTAAAATATAAAATAACGCGCTACGATTAATTTTACTAGACTGTCTCCTCAGTTTTATTGAGTCCAAACAGTCTTTTGTAAAGAAAAAGAGAGAGAGAAAAAAAGTTATTTAACTTTCCCACGACTAGCTGAGCGGAAAATAATCATTCCTGGCTGCCTGTCACGTTGGGTATTTAACAATAGAACAATGTGTCAACAGAACCAGGGAGAATCTCATCATTAGCCCCTTTAATGCAAGAAGCTGTTGTGTATTAAATGAGCCATATGGAATTTATTAGGTCTTATCAGCGCTTGATTGTAACTGTAAAGTGATTTACTCGGCCTTTACCTCCCAACATATGTTTTATGTGCCCCGTGTTCGCAATAAGGCGCCAATCATAATGTTTATCGTCGCTTTGGTTATGAAGCTTGGAGAGAAAATGTAGTGCTATGGGCCCTATCAACTTTACCAGCTCTTTACTTTGCACCATGACATTACATTCACTAAAAGCGAAGGAAGCCCAATCCTTTCTTGCTGTTTTAAAGTCTTTGGTTGCTGTGGCGAAAAGGTATTTTCATTACTCATATTTGCGCAGTCACATCCGCAGAAAATCTGACACAGATCAGTATACTGTATCTGGCACAGTCCAGTCAGGTTTAAGATTGCAAGTCCGAGGCTATCTTTAGCATTATTATTTCTTTTAAACCCAAAAGAAATGTGGATCATAAGTAATGAAAATAGAAAAAAAAGAACCCTATAACTTTAGATAAAAACATCTAATATACCTAGGCTTTGATGGGAAGACTGGCCCAGAATTTATCTGTCTATCTATTCACACGTTAGTTACAACTTACTTGTACTCGTGCTTCGGTTAAATCTAGCCGCATCGCCAGCTCCTCCCTGTACAAAACACAGAAAGAAGTGAAAATACACTTTCAGCACTCCCATAGTTCGCGGTAGGTTTTTTTTTGGAAAGCTAATACTGGTTTCAAGTTCTATATGAGGATCAAACATGACCAAGCAGCTATTTACGGACGCTCTCCAGTCTTTCCTGTTTCCATGGGCCATAAAATAGGCCAGACGAAGCATGCAAACATCGAGCAAGCGGCTCATCTCCAACATTTTCAGCAATGTCACAACCACCAGAATATGTCATTATTTGATACAGGAAATCGCCCTTTTTAGTACTAAACGGAAACGAATTTTAATTCTGAAGAGCATTGTAAATTCATTGAAAGTATCAGAGCGATTATATATGCTAATAATTGTTTTCCTTCTCTCCCGACCGTGACACATCTGATAAAAGTCAGTTTTCGTTTTCATTTGTTACATTGTTCCACTTGTATCGTGATCCGTTGCTTTGTAAACAATTCACTTTCAGTCAATGGGGTGAACGAGAAAGGTTTCTAATGTGCACACGGATTTTGAGAGCTTAGAATTTCACGCACTGCATTTTCTTCAGATTAGAGATATAGACGGGCTAAAGTCTTGAAATCCATGGGGTGCAGCAAAAAGCGGCAGTCGATCTAAAAAGGGGCTGCCGGGTGGGGAGTGCTGTGCTCGGAGAGTTAATCTGGAGTCATTGCTTTGACAGAAGCGACACTAGCGAGTGGAGAGCTGGAAAAGTGACCAGCCTCCGATAGATCAATCGATCAAGTAGGTCTCTATCGTGGGACTATTCGGTGTGGCAATAAACACCACAGCTGCGAATGGAAATCAAGTTAGAAACAATTAAAGACTGCTAGGTGTATCAATAAAGCTTTCAGTCTGTGGTCCGGTCTTTGTAAGTTCTGTAAGTTTTTTTTAAAATTACAGTCTGTACTTACCTGGTGAAGACGTCTGGGTAGTGTGTTTTCTGAAAAGCTCTCTCTAGTTCTTCAAGCTGGTAGCTGGTGAATGTAGTCCTATATCGCCGCTGTTTCCTTTTTAACATACCTTCTTCAGAGTCACTACCGGCTGATAGACACAGACTGTCCTCCCCATCCTTCACATCCACGTCTGTCTGAGCCTCCTCCACAAGTTTAGGGCTTAAGTCATCTTCAACCGCGTCCTCTTTCGCATCTCCCTCAAACGACTTGTCAGCGGGCTCCAGCGAACTTAGTTCTGGAGCCGGGACCAGGTTCTGTGTGCTGTCCCCTTGCGTTTTGCCCAGGCTGAAGTTTTCTTTGTAGGATTTACTGCGGCTGATGCTTACTTGTGGGGCCTGGCTGATTTTCAGATCGGTGTTTCGGAACGGTTCGGAGGATCTGTCTCTCTCCAATTTCTCGTTAGCAATCTCGTTAAATCCCCGAGCGTCAAAGATTTTACTTCCCAGCCCGTATAGTCTTCGGAACTTCGGGGGGAAATGGAGCTCAGAGTCAAAAGACATGTTTTCCTTGGGTGATCCTATGTGTAAAAAAACACGAGAACCCATAATCAATCATTTAGCGGCGTTATTGAAAACAGAATATTTAGTAGTGAGATGTACTTTGAGAGCCTGTGTTTTACAGGTGTAACCGGACACTCAGTACTGGAACCCACTGCCAATGCCTAATATATTCGGCTGACAAGGACCGAGCTACTGTTCCATTTCGTGAAGTTTAGACTCTGGACGTAGCGAAAGGTTAATGTATAAAAATGATAAAACTGCCAGAATTTTCATTCCTAAGAGAACATGTATCACTAGGGGCAGGCCGCGAGAATCTGGTGGAGCTGCAATGGAGAGTCTGCTTTTTTTTTTGGCAAATCTGTTCTCACAATAAGCGACACTCTTGAAGCAATCAACTTTCAGAGAAAAGGTCGGTTCATTTTAGGAGAGGACGGTTGGACTGGACTCTTGGATTGGCCGTTAATTAGAATTCGTATACCCTACATGATTAATGAATTAGTAATTCAGGCAAACTCCGCGCTGCCGAAATATATTTATCTGTCTACAGACAGAAAAACAGTTCTAAATGAACATTCCCCTTTAAAAAAAGCAGCGATTACCACTAATGTGTGGATATTTACTTCTGTTTGCAGCTAATATGCTACATGTGCAAAAAAGTTATTTTTATGTCCTTTGATTTTCCTGAGGATTTAGAACGCGTTGAAAAATCATCGCCTTCCACCATTTTCCACTGTCAGAAACACTTTTCAACTTTAATCTACTTTGCTTCTCCAAGTGCTACTGAAAAAAGCCCGCGATTTAACAGGATAAATCGAATTTAAGTTATTTTAAGGTTTTTTAATATAATCCTAAGAATCTTTTAAATGTTTCGAATAGGTCCCTCTTCATTGATATTCAAAATATGCACGAGTTAAAATGTCGAGAGCAGTAAAGGGAGAAGAGCGGAAAGTGAGAACAGGGATTTCCCTTTCGGAGCTTAGTTATCGCGAAAGGTGCAATCCGATATTGCTGTGTTTATCGACAGCATATTTGGAAAGTAACCAATTGCAAACACGCCATCTCTATGAAGCCAAATTGATCATTGTAAACAAAGCAAACAACCCACCCCCCCAACACACACACACAAATTAAGCCACAAAATAAAACAAAATAACATGCTGCATGAATCGATAATATTTTCTAGAACATGTATAGCCAGAGCTCGGTGTCCCTAGTCTGAACCAGAAACTATGTCCACTGTTGCAAAATGACCCAAGTGCTTTAAGACCTATTTAAACAGGATACGCGTTTCAAACGATACTGAGTTACATTTGTAAACCAGGTGCCGATGCTCCTTGCAAATTGGAGTTGTAGTGTCAACACATCTAACCCTCAGAAGAATACGAAATTAGTTTTTTTTAAAAAATGTTGCTTAAAAGTGCAGCTGGACCTGTGATCCAGCGAAGTTTTACAGCAAAGAAAAAAAACCTTACCTTCACTAGCTGTGTCCGGCTCATTCCTGGCTGTGAGAAGCGGCAACGCTTGAGCTCCAATACATCTAATCTTACAGGGGCTCCTTCTGCCCAGAATACTGTCGATGCAGTAAGAGGACAGCAAAGTTGGAGATTTACTTTTGCACTCGGATCTCTCGCAAATCTCCTCCTTGTATTGAGTGGTCATGGTTGGAGCCTGAGTTCTGAGTTGCCGGAGGCTACGATTCCCCCACTTGTACGGCAATCGCTCTTGCTCTGATCGAGGTACTAATGACATTTGTATTGGGCTGTAATTGCTTTGCTCTCGATTCTCCAACACACGTGCTGAAACCTCTGTGATTGGCTCTCCGGGACCTGGGGAGCTTCTTTTTTTACATTCCACCAACAGGAAGTTTAGGCGAATGGGAAAACGAGGTATGGATCTTTAAGGAATGAACCCGGTGAAAGAGCTCATTTCCTCCGGCTGCAGTTGTAAAGAGCGGCTGTTTCATCTTTCAAGCCATGAGGCTGCACTTAGCCGAATAGACGGTGGGTGTAGTAACACGCAGATCCCCTGCGTAATGTCACTCAGCAAGTTATCTGCCTTTTTTTTCGATTTGAAAAGTGGCAGAGTGTATATTTAAATCTGATCGATCTGAATGAACCTTTGGGAAAGATTAATTAAGATATAGGTCAGAACATTTTTCATCGAGTGACAATTTCTGCATCTAAGCATTTATGAATTACAACTTAAAGTCAGGGTCTGGCCTTATATCCATTGCAAAATTGTATCAATATGATAGATTTCAATTGGAAAATGCTGCATTTCTGAATGTAAGCTTGAACTGAGTAACCCCCTCATCCTGTTCTGTCAGTCACTCATTGTGAATCAATGCACTGTAATTTAGGTCAACATTAAATCACTGTCTGCTCAAACATTATATCTCGTTGGTATAAAGTGATTTTTCTCTCTCTGTCTTTCTCTGTTGTCAGAATGTCCAGGTGTTTTAATTGTAACACTTTTGTAACAATGTAAAGAATTTCAGCGTCTAATTCCGGGAACGTCTGTAAACCCAGCACACTCAATAATCCGCAACAGGACTTTGTAACTACTCCTTCTTCACCCATCAAATTAAAGGCTAGATTAACTTGTAATGTGATATATTAAACGTTCGTATCGGTAGCTAAATGTGTTTTACAATAACGATTGTCGTGATTTTTATGGGATATGGATCTTGTCAGTAGATGTGATATATACTATCAGGAATGTGATCGGGGTGTACAGTTGATCAATGCTGAGATGGTTGTAATCATTTCATAAACTAACCTTGTAAAGCCCTAGGTGAGAAATAGTAAGTTATATGGACCAGCCGAATTGCTCAATTCTTGGAACTCCATTCAGCTATTCGGTATGGAAATTAATTTGACGATCTTTCGTTTAGTCTCATCAAATGTTGCTTTTAAATGGCGTATTGCAGATATTTCGCGGCGGAGAACTTCATTTTGTATCTATAATAGACTAAAACGGCGCATTGCGTGACTGTTGGGGGGTGGGTAGTGGAGTGGGGGTGTTGGGGGAGAGCCCGAAACGTTTGGTTTTTCGAGCACAGACCTAAATTTAATTACACAGCGAAAACAACCAACTCAACTACATATCAACATAATAATCCCAAACAACAGGCGTCTCATACTTAGTTTTTTTTCGCCTCGTGTCGTTAAATGCCTTCGGTTTTTCAAAGCAAGAAGAATACAGAGTTTTCGAAACTATTGTACTGCAAACATATATTTCTGAACTCATTTTGGCTAGACTTTAGACAGTTGCTGATTGAGGGAGGCACATCATTTATAAGAGAGAGATGGGAAAGGATCTGTCACCCTATCTTCCGCACAATCAGTCAGAAAAACACAGCTCATCTACAAAGCAAATCGACTGCAGCGGCGGCAAGAAAACCGGCCAAATCTTAAAAATACTTCAGTCTGATAGAATAGAACAGATTCGCTTGAACATATTGGGCATACAATTTTCAACCAGCTAAATTTTCAAAAGAAAAGGGAAGGGAATTTATAGGATGAAGGTAATTATGAATAACAGCAAACACACACGCATATTAAAAACAGACTAGACATGTAGATTAATGTTTTATTCACGTATTTTCATAAATTTATATTTTAAAACAAACCTAAAATATTTATTGTTTAATCGTCTACTGCTTCAGGATGCAAAATGAACTGATTTTTGACCAAAAGGATTTGGAACTACTTATCTGGGGCAAGAGGCGACTTACATATCCACAAAATAATCAGGTTCACGTTTGTCTGTGCGGAGGCAAATATAAAGGACTGCCATGAATGGAGTAATAACATCTCCCACTATCTGAAACAAGCGTATCAAGCCTTTAGTGTATGAACAGATTCCTCCTTCTGTTTGTGAATGTGGATGCCTGAAAGGGAGAGGCAGACATGAGCTCGATTAGACCCTCAGGAAAATGTATTCTAATCCCGCATATTGAGGCTGCTGGGTGTCATCCGAATGTACCGTCTTGGGACCGCAGCAATACCTCGTAGATCAATTTGTAAAACATCATTAAAAATGCTTTACATTCGTTATTTTTTAAACAGGGTCGGCCGTGGAGTTTGGGGTGGGGTGGGGTGATGTTTAACATGCAGGCGTATTTGCCCGTGAATGAAGTGGAACATGATGGTGTTAATGTTACTTCGTGAGCTGTGATTGCTCCTTTCTCTAAACGAATAAAATTGACATGAATTGACATAATGGGCGATTAAAAGTGCTAGATATGTTCATACAAAGTGCGTTATTAACACTCATCATTAACTCCTCGCTTGTAATCGAACGTGTCAGTCTTACACAGCACAACTTAAGGCATCTACAAGCTTTAATGACGTTGGAACCAATGGGTGCTGAATGATTGCTATGGCATTTTGAAAATATTTTGTTTTAAATTCCTTCGAGAATGAGTGCGAGGAACATATGTTGTGGCTGATAACCATTGCTGCTGGAATATTTAGTCAACAGTTTTTTTTGCTACTTCTACTTAGCTTTATCTCCAGCAATATGTGTATATCTTTGTGTGTCCGTATATAGCGTCTGAAACATCGCCTGCCGAAAGCTACACTGTGAACGGTCGAACTCACTGCCTACTTTGATCAGATTCCCTCAATCTTCAATTGCCTCTTCACCAATACATTTACTCCTTTGCAGGTCTACTCCCAAGCGGCCTTATCTTATTCTTGACTGCTGTGTAAATTGAAAACGAGCGAACGGGAGAAGATCAGAATGTAACCATATAGCAATTATAGTCAGCAAGTCAAGTATGATAGAGTACGCACTCTATCATAGGAAACAAATGACGATCAAAGGAAAATTTATTTTGTTTTAATCATTAACCTAATGGATATTAATGTTGAACATAGGTAGAGGCAGTCAGGTGTTGAACAATTAATGAGACTAAAATAAAGAACTGCGGATGCTGGAGATCCGAAACAAAACCAGAAAACTGCTGGAAAAAAGAACTCAGCAGGTCTGGCAGCATCTGTGGAGAGAAAGCAGAGTTAATGTTTCGGGTCTGGTGACCCTTCCTCAGAACAATAAACCCGAGAGTATTTTCAGGACAATTAATACTGTTAGAAAGCTAAGATTCCGCACAGGCAGCTGCATTGCTTCCAACATGAACTGAAATAACGATTAATGAGAGCTAGCGATTCATTTTGTTTATTTTGTATACCGATGGCGGCATTGCCAAATACATAATTTGGATTATGTACTACAGAGCGCCATTAATCTCGATCCAATTTTGAGCCACTTTTGTGAACCTACTGATTCTTAACTAAAATATTTGTCATAGAGTGGCAGATTAGCAATTATAAATTCATTCGGCGTGGCGGGTTTTTGTTCTAAACATCACATTCTGCATCTATGTTATGAATTATGGCCATGATGTGGAGGTGCCGGTGTTGGACTGGAGTGAACAAAGTCAGGAATTGTACAACACCAGATTATAGTCCAACAGGTTTATTTGAAACACAACCTTTCGGAACTAACACCTGAAGGATCAATTATGGCGGCGTTTGTAGGAGAGACTTGTATAATTGAATGTGCCCAGAGTTGGGAGTAGAACAGGGAAGGTCTAAACATTGATTTATTCCCTAGCTGCCTCCGGCTTACAGCAGTACTTGTCATCAATGTCTCAAGTTTGAAATCTTATCACATATCTCCCGGGGTAAACTTATTCAGTCGTTTCTCTAAAATATGTATCCGCTCCCATTAATAACATCCTAACCATGTTGTAGCACTAAAGCTCATGGACATTAACGTGGCAAGAGCAAAAAGTCCGTTGCCAGTGGTTAGAATATGGAGAGTTTTTTGAGACCTTGGGTTCATTGCTTCGATTGCTGCAAGTTGTAAGGATGAGTTTTTGTAGTTTCTTCATTGCCTGTGGCCGCCTTTAGACGTTGAAACAGCTAAAAATTTGATTTCCTGCATGCTCCCGCCTCACCTGTATACGAAAAGGTTGGTACGAATAGCTTTGAAGCCCTATTTCGAGTCGAATTCACTAAAACGTGATGTACACGATCGCAGCTCAATAACACATTCCGACCGGTGACCAGCTGAAACATGAAACCGGTATGTCTGCTGCTCAGGTATTGTGGTTTCCCAAACTTCCAATTCACGAAAATCCGAGTTGAAATTCAATACACCGGGAATGGGAATGACATCTCACTACTTACCCACAGGCCACAAGCAAACCCTGGAATCAGTACAAATTCAACAGGTCATTTTGCGGTACCTGTAATTTATAAGATCGCAATGATATATTTCAAGACAATAGCCCAGTAGAAAACCGCAACATTTCGTTTCCGATGTCACTACAATGATGTACGCTCATCAATCGAGATTCTCGCTTTATTGTTAAAATCAAAACAAACTGCGGCACTGCTGATATAAGTCTCTGAAGTCTATGCTAATATGCATTGGTTCTTCACTTTGACACAAAAAAGACAAAACTTCCGAAATACATTTTAACTTTCGCAGTAAATTGTCACAATTAAGACAGCGGGAAACAGGGGAAAGGACAAACATCTGCAGTAACAATTACTGTTATTTTCTACGCATTTTTGTTCCGTTGTTGAAAGTATCTTCTTTATGCAATAGGGAATTTGCATTTTCACCAAACTAAAGGAAAATACACTGGAAATCTGTCAACTGTTATGGAGCACTTATTTTATTTATGATTCTGGAAACGCTCAAAGCCTGCCGCAGACGGCAGAATGTTTCTGCAACATTGTCTAAATGAAGATCTGGAAAAAGGAACTTCGTTTCT